GCCACCAAAGAGGACCAGGCCCCCATACATGTAGATAGCATGAAGACCAGAGAAGAGAGCTGTACCTGGTGTAGCAAATAAACCACCCTTTTGAAAGAGAGAGAGAGACAGAAAGAGAAATGAAAGATCATAATAAATTACATGTATGTATAATGATGATGGAAGGAGAAAGATATTATAACAGATTACATGTATATGCATCATGATGGTGGAAGGATTAAAAGGAATACATTCCCTTACCAATGGATGCTACAAACACAACACCCAGTCCAAGAGAAAGAGGTCCACTCATGCTCAGGTATTTCTGACTCGGAGCACAAGCAGCTGTAGCACTCAGGCCTCCTACAACACCAGCTGTATACAAAGCAGCCCTAGCAACCAGTGGACCTTCAAAGAACAAGCACATGTAATATGAATGGAGTAAGGTATGGTTCCCTTGCCCCCTTTCTCTCTCTCTCTCTCTCTTGTACCTCCCATAAAAGCAATAGGTGCTAACGTGGCTCCCATTATTCCAGTGAAGAGTGCGTATGATGCAATCTTGACTGGGATTGTCTCTGGCTTGTAAGGGATACCGTAACACATCATGGCTGAACCAATCGTACCAACCAGAAATACAATACCAGACTAGAGGGAGAGGAAGAAAGAAAGGTTAGTAGTACTACTGTACATTAATAAGTAAATCATTCACCATTAGAGGTCTTGTGATCATGAATCTTAAGAATGACTCCGAACGTGAGGCAGTATAAGCAGCAGCTGCAGTTACTCCGAGACCGCCAGCAAAATAAGTATAGGTTTTATTAATGCGTGACCTTATCTCTGCAGGCCAAAACCTTTGAAAGAAAAGATAGAGAGAGAAGTTTAACATTATTATTACATTATGTACATTTAAACAACCATGATAAGAGTGAGAAAGTGAAAATGCCACAAATATATATATTAAAAGTATTTGGGACATCGGTAAGGCTCAAATAAACAATCATGAAGTTATAGCAAGACACAAACAAGTTGTGTTTATTTTAAATAAAGTGACCATGTTCATATTTTGTATCCATACAACTCCCAAACAACTTACAAAAGTGTCACAAGTTTAGTATAACTGACAAAATAACATTAAACATGAACACAATAATAATAATAACAACATAATTACATGCAAGTGTACATGTACATGCAGGGTTTCCACAGCATTTTTGCAAAGTGCTAAACAGTTAATTTCCTCCAAAATCAGACAAAAGTCCCTGTACTATTTTATAACATTTTCTGATGTATATACATGTACTTATATTGCATATAAAGTTTGAGCTGATTCAGATCAAAATTGAATTTTTAAAGAATTTTTTAAGTTGCTCCAAAATCAGACAAAAGTCCCTGTACTATAGTACATGGTCACAGGCCAAATTTTGCCAAAAATAAAAAGTAGAGAATTCTCCATTTTTATAACTTTTTCTGATACTGTACATATACATGTTCTTATGTTATGTAAAAAGTTTGAGCTGATTCCGATCAAAATTGGATTTTTTTACAAATTTTTAAAGTTGCTCCAAAATCGGACAAAAGTCCCTGTACTATAGTACAGGGTCATGAGCCAAATTTCACCAAAAATGAAAAGTAGAGAATTCTCCATTTTAAAAACATTTTCTGATGCATATACATGTACTTATGTTGCGTATGAAGTTTGAGCTGATTCCGATCAAAATTGGATTTTTTACAAATTTTAAAAGTTGCTTCAAAATCGGACAAAAGTCCCTGTACTATTAGTAACGCGGTAGCGTTACTAAGTAGGATTCACCCCCAAACAAAATGGCTGCCACGACTTTTGCAGCCTTGCTATACCGGGAAAACGAGCTCCTATGCTTACCAGACTTTATAGAGGACCTCATCTTGACCAGAGGACTCCAATGGTACAACTAGTGTGGCTCTAGGCCCTGTCTAAGAGGAAATCAAAAATC